TTCCCACTGAGACTGTATACAAATATTAGAGCTCTAACTCACACTTTTGTCAGCAGGATGTGCCGCCTCTGTAGGCACACTCCGTTTAAATGAAAAGCCCCTTGGCATTACAATAAATCAAGTGATTAGCAAGAAGCAAAATGCCAACCTCTGGCTTTTTTCTGTCCCAAAAGCTTGTAGTGCACTGTAGCAAACTGAATTTTCTATCAAAAGGCAATGTGTATCCTGAGACTTGAGCACTGTAATAATACACTGAGTACTGTAATATTGAACTGATATGTGGGGAACCTGGAGAAACCTGTGAATTTTTGTATTTCTGACTCTAAAAGCTGCCAGTATCAGACAAAGCCAGTCAATGAGGGCCAGAACATGTACAGCAGAAAATTGTTTGTTGTGAACTGAACAGCAGAATGGTCTACCATAGTGCCCTGGATTATGCACTAAGTAGCCATTTAACTGTAGAGAATTGTGCTGCCCACGTTATAAGTTATGCCTCAGAAAATGCAACAAATGTGGCTGGTAGTTGGACATAGTTTTGTTTCTCTCTGATCATGCCTCCAGTGCTGCCTTGTGTTGGCCAAGATGACTTTCGGTGGTGTTCAGACAAATCAATTGCATTGGCCCGCTTTTGTGCTTGTCAATTTGCTTTTGATCATTCACCCAGAAAACAGTACTATCCATTCATTGGAAGTGCATGCATTCTAAATACGATAATACTGTATTTAAAATGCAACTGGAATACAGGTAGAAAGGCATTTTATGTTGTGGCTTTTACAATCATTTATATGCTCTATATGTGCAGTGACAGCAGTATTTCCTTCACATTCTTCTCCATCTTTTAAAACACTAAAAAAAAGAAAGAAGGCCAAAATTAGATGGAAAATTTAACTATTTTTAAAGTCTCAAGAACTGAATTGTAAGGAAAAGACAAAGTATTAATTTGCCTATATGTGTGAGATAAATAGGTTTATAGATATTAAGGATGTACTCATTGGAGCATTTCTTTAGAGCTTCAGTGTACCTTGCTGTTCTTCTGTTTTAGCTAATGGTGATTAAAATAATTTCTATTTTCTTTTTCAACTTTATATACACCCTGGGCATGTGTTAAGATGTACAGGGATATACTTTCAGTGAGAAGGACTCTTAAGTGATATTCTAATTCAGTGATACTTCTGTAACCTGATTCCTCCTCCATATGTTCTCAGTATTCTAGTCTAGAGCTAATCTGAAATACCAGACTGGATTGCAGAAAGAATCTGGCTTTCAGTCAACCAAACCCTTTTCTGCAGTGAAGTGAAAGATAAAGAAACACGTAATTACTCTAATGACAGGTTAGACCTTTAGATTCATGCTGCAATCAGTGATTCCTGAGGTGCTCTTCCGCAATCATGGTTTAGTGCTGACTAGAGAGAGAAGACAGGTAAAGACTGTGAAACACTCCATCAGTCCTTGATCTAAATGCTTACCGGAGAGTCATACCTCTCATTTGCAGATGGTGAGGCTGGCTCCAAATTTAAGGGCAGCAGAGTGGATTGTCTTGGAAGGAGAGTCTTGGAATATTTTTCATGTGTGTATAAATTAAATAAATAAAATCCCCCTAAATTAGACCCTCCTCTCCTGGGACTTAGTAGTAAGCTGCAAATTATTTTTAATCATATGAGGCCGTTGTATCTACCATACACATACAAACACACGAGCATTACAGATGGCATACAGTTAGTAATCACAGTTTAGTAATCATCATTTAGTCTTCAGTAATCACATAATCAAGGAGAAAATTTCTATTGTGTATGGATATGCTCGCCAGAGCTGTTACATTTCCAGTGCTGTCAAATCAATGCCAAAATCCTACTTTCAGAATTTCCTACTTCTTTATTCTCAAAGTGTATGGCATTAGTAAATTTATTTTTTTCTGAACCTGAAGGATTGTTGATTTATGGATTTAAAATAAGTTTTTCCAGCTGATGCTGATGGAACTCTACACCATTTTATAACCATTCAGGATAAAGTGTATTGGACCTAATCTGGAAACTCATTGATGCAATTAATCCTTATATCTGTGAGCTGTGTCAAGAAAGCGAACTGGGACTGTTGTGTAAGTAATAGTTACAGAACCTCAGTCATTTAAATCATGATTATCCCTGGAAAACAACAAAAGATTAGCTCCAGTAATCATTTTTTTGTAGACATCACAGAGATTAAAAGCAGATGCTTTGCAGAACTACTGAAGTGTACCTTCCTTGGTTTGCAAATGTCATAATCTATAGAAATTTTGCTAATTTCACTTTGAAAATGAGTTTGCAACATTATTTGTCACTTTGCCAGCCCGTATCAGTACATTCTCAAAGAGTTCATCTGGTTAGAAGGATATCCTAGCCAAAGGATACCAAAGGTATGTTTAAGTCCCTTTGCATCTTTGTTGCAAATAAAAAGATGAGTAGGTTGTTGATAGGACTGATGTCAATCAAAGGATCATTTTCTCCTTTTTGATATGCTGCAGTAAAAAAGGGTTTCATTTACTTCTGATCATTAATTGCCAGAATCTGTACAGGACACTTAATTCCCACTCCATTTCTGGGTTTGGTGATTCCCAAGGCTGAGCAAGAGAAGTGATAACAGGAGAGCTTTAGAGCTACCTATAAAGGCAGAGATAAATTCAAAGTGATAATATTAGACTACATCCATATGCCAGGCAAGTTATTTAGCTTGACTTAAGAAATTTTGATGCTATGGTTCACACTCTAGCTACTTCATAGCCTCATGACACAATGTGTCACTCACCTCGTGGGCAAAAACATTTGACAGCATACAATATCCTCAGTTAAAATTACTGTATTCATGAGAAATGTTTTATTTCTCTGAGTAGTATATATTGCTGTTGTACTTCTGATGGTATATTGAATTTTTCTGGACTCCATATTTGTAATCATTCCATTAATGCATAGTTAACTTCCACACCATAGCTTTTATTTATATTCCTTAATTGACTTTGAAATGCAACACAAAGGTTTCATCCTTCTGGAGGGAGAGGTTCTCTCCATATTCCAGTAAAAACTTTTGATGTAAATGACCGAGACCAATCCTGTGGCTATTATGAATGAGGTATTAATCTGGTTTACTTTCTCTTCATCTGGTTAGAAGCCAAGTATCATATAAAAATACTAGGTATATTTCAAGGAATTTTCAGTGTTCAAAAATAATAGGTGCAATCAGAAGGTAAGTACATGATGGATAAACAAGTAAGGATGGGTTTCTAAAGCCTGTTTGTTATAGTCACAGCAGATTTACATTTCAGTAGATAGTAGCTAGCCCCTTAATCTTTTGTGTGATTCTCCAGGACAGAAGTATCACACATTCACTCCTGCATAAATCCTGTGTATTATGCTGGCCAGCATTCTTACTCTGTTAAAAGGTAGAAGTGGTCCTTCTCACTGTTTATTCAAAGCAGGTGATACATACAGCATTAAACATTTAAATTCCCCTTTGGGCCCAAAGTTAGGTTTATAAATGCAGCTTCTCACAATCAAAGTGTTTCAGAGACGATATCTGCATGGCAGAGGTGTGTTAGGGTGGGATGCTGAGTAAGGAGCGGAACAGACACTATTGGTTATGTGTTGTAGAGCCAGTGATTATGGGTCGCAGTCTGGCTAGGCATGGTTAAGTTCGTCTGTATTTATTACAGGCAATGGAGGATTTTGAAGAGAAAGTTTAAAGAAGAAAAGATGGTGAGCAGTGAAATGGAAAAAAAAAATGTTGAAGTACTTGTCAGAAAAGTAGACGTTTGAGATAGTTACTAGTGGTGCAAATGTAGAAGGGTGACCTTTCAACTGACAACCCTGTAGGCTGGATAGATATCAATTATGAGAGACCTTTAAATGTAAACAGAATTAAAATAAGAGAGAAGATCTAGCTTAAATTGGCTATCCTCATGTAGGTAGAAGGATTTCCAAAGTGCAAGACCTTAGGCGTTTTGTCTAAGATGAGATTGCAGCAATGAAGTTCTGAAGTGATTCAGGCTCAGGCAATTGTTTTGGCAGTGTAGGCTGAGGTGAAATGTTGTATTTTAGGAACTGTTCGGCAGGATGTTCATGGTAGCGTGTTCATAAATCACATATGTCAATCTTTAGTACTTTCATTACCATTAGCATTTTGTGTAATGATAACAAAGCATCCGAGGGATTAGTTTTCTTTTCCTGCCTAAGAAAACTATATCTGAAAAAAAGAAACAAGATTTTCCTTTATTCCGTATTATCCCATAGAAAATGATCTTTCTTTAGATGCAGAGCCTCTATTTAAATTTTTTTTCCTAAAATGCTCTTTTTCAGTGTTCTCCTACCGGCTTAAAAGAAATAGCATCAATCTCATAATGTATAGAAATTTTTTTACAAAATATGTGTTAAGGTAGTTTTGAAATCTAAATATAAAATTGAAACAAAACAAATACTGTCTAGAGGTTCAGTCTCTACAGAAACTGTAGGATTGAAGGACAGCCTTCAATCACTGTCAAATCTATGAAACGAGCAGACTTTTTACAATGTCATTTATTTTTTAATTGTGTTTAGGCGTTTGGGTATGTGATTATAGAATCTTTATAATATCTTTCTTAGTATATGCAATATTCTCATTATTGGAGAAAGACAGGAAATTAATTTAAAAAGATGGTAAAATGCACTCCACCTCAGTATATGCATACTGTATTGATTAGGAGACTGGGCTGCAACATCTCAAAAGATCTCTTCTGACCTCTACCACTTTCTGTAGATATTCCAGCAATCTTTAGTTGTCTTAGCTCACACCAATGAAAGAAGTGGGATCCTTAGAACTTGCAACATGATCAGGTTTAAATGGGTAGTTTGTGGGCATATCTTTTATATTAGTGCTTTATTGTGAAGAGCTAGGAAACTAGAACTGTATACAATTAGTTCACTTTACAATATTTGTAAGAGAGGAATTCATTTTGACCTTTTTTCCTTTTTTTTTTTTGTTTGTTTTCCCTGTAGCTGGGCCTCTAGAACTTCCTCTCTTTGAGCTGATCCCATCACAAAGACAAGTGGTTTTTCATGGAGACCGCTTGCCATTTCAGTGCACTGCAACATACGTCGACAATACCACCCAAGTACATTGGTACCATGCTGGTCAACTGATTGAGACAGATGAAGAGAGAGGCATATATGTGGAGGACAGCATCATTCATGACTGCTGCTTAATTACACGGTAATGTATACCCCTTGTAATAGTCAGACTTACAGGCAAGGTGAACAGATTCAGCACTTACAACAAGCCTTATTAAAACATGCATCAGGAATTGTTTTTTGGAGCAATTCAGTTGCATGCGTCAGTCTGAACACACAGAGGTAGAGATTTTTCATAGCTACAAAATCGTATATCTTGTGTCTAGGTATCGAGATTTGATCAACCATGAGTTTGAAACAGATCAAACCAGTTTCTTACACAGTAAACCATGAGATTAAACTGCATTTAGAATAACTTCAGTAACATGAGAGTGACGTACAGCAAAACTACTTCATGACACCACCTAAATGTTTGAATTGTGATCTTCCTGTGAAGAACTATCAATTTAAAAGGCTTAGATTATTTTTTGGAGGTTCCAATATACTACAACCTATCTTCTTTAGTTATGTCATCCCAAATTTGTTTCCTACTAAAATATTTCTCACCTTTCTGTGACTTTTAGCACCTGTGTCTCTGTGTGTTTGATACACGTCTACAGAAACCATTCTTGATATGAAAAATGTAAGACGAATGAAGTAGAATAGGCTTCTATAAAAACAGAACACCTAGTATTTGGCAGTGAATATATCATTCCACTTTAAATTCAGTTTTCCCTTTAAAATCTTAATAAATTATTATAAATTTCTGTGTTTATTTTTGGTTTTCATCATAGATTATTGGCTTGTCACTAAAAGCTAAGCTGTTGCATATGTCCTTTTGTCCTCTGCCAATTTCCATCTAAAAAATTTATGATTGATCAAAAAAAAAAGAGTCTGATTCTCCATCTATGTTCTGCCTTTCTCTTTGTGGAAGATAGAGTGAAAATAGCTATGCTAATTAGCTCTGGATCATCATTATCATCTTTTCACTCAACCAGTTTCTATTAATATAATTGACCTAAAATGCTTCTTGAGCTATCAAATGAAAGTTATGAAGGGAGTCAAAGTAATTCCTCTCTACTGGGGTCATTTTGGCTTTATTAATTTTGCCTACTCTCTGATTATCTGATCCTTTTTGGAGTCCCATAGATCTAGAGGTGTAGACCTGAGCTATTCTCACAGGTACTGGCTTTCTTCTAATACCAATGTGTATGGCTATAGCAAATAATGAAAAAGACTCTTAGGCCAATTAGTATGTTAATGCCAAGTGCATGAGCTATTATATAACTGCCAAGTGACTTAAATGTGCTTCTTATTTCCATGACATCAAAATTAAAAGACATGCTGTTAATCACCTTATATTTTTCAGCTGAATTAATTTTGCACTACATAAGCAATTTGTAGAATAATAAACTGAAATTGTCTAAAACCGGTAAGATTTTCAAAATAGTTATTCTTTTAAAAAAGCAGGTTTAGAAGTAGCTAGACTGAATTTACTTATATTGCTTATATTTTGCCAGACTGTTAAATAAGAATCATTGTCTACCATAGCAATATTTTAATAAGGATGGTTGATCTGCTACTTACCTTGTTTTCTGTGCCATTTGATAGGTGACCTTGGTGCTTATGTTGCAGCATGCAGTGGGACTAGGTATTCAGAAAGAATGTTCTCTAAATGCATCATCATATTTGCAGTTATAGACTGGAAAAATACTGTGACTTTTCCAAGTTACATGATACAGACTGTCAAAATGAGGCAAAATATTTTTTAATTAAAATCTTTATAAACACTGATTTAAAAGTGTATGACATTTTAATTGCTCATTAATTTGAGCTGTGTTTTACTTTATTTTAAAGTAGGGCATCAACACTGCCTTAAAACATACAGCATAGTCCTTATCCAGTCAAAAATATACAGGCAGTCATGTCTCTGCTTTAATCAAGGGGCTGATCAAAATTAACTTACTAAAGGCATGAGACATCTATACTTTTGAAACTAGCTTTTAAAAACAATACTGTTTTGAAGTCAGTGATTTTTTTTAATGTGAATTATAGAGATTATTGTATCTTCATGTTGTAAATGAGAAAATATTGGGCAAGTTATGATTGTAAAAACTTTCTTCAGCATTTCTTAATTTTAATCCCATCATTATGACAATATATACTGGAACTCAGTTTGTATCATTATTACATGTTAAAATACTACCCAATAGCATGCTTGTTACATGTTAAAATAGTATGTAATAATATGCTTGTTACATGCTATAACACACTAGCTTGTGATAGCTCTTAAGGCTAAATCAGTTGTACAAGACCCCTTGAAACATCAGAAAGACAGTGTCTTCCTGAGGTTATCATGTGTTAAGGATAGAATTTGGAGTAAAAATAAAGGTAATTTACTTAGTGTCATATTTTGCCTACTCTTTACAGCAGATGTCCACTGTCTGTGTTTTTCTGTGATTGCACTGAAGGATAGGCTTTGGCTTGCCCTGCTTGGCAATTTAAAGGTTGCTGAAGCTAGTTTTGAACAAAGAGGTGTAGTCCTGTTCCAAAACCTGCTTATTCAAACATTTTTAGGTGGTTATTTTATTGGGTAGTTCCAGATATTTCTGGCCATGGATTTACAACACAAACATCATACTAAACCCTTCTGTTTTATTAACTGGCACAGTAAAGGATAAAATATCCAAATGTGTATTTTTTGTCTCTTAGGATAAAGCAGAAGAAGCTAAAATAAATGTTTTTGTTACAATAATTAAACTAGAGTTTTGAACTGAATTCCGGCCTGTGACATTTTTCTTGGCAAAGAGTATTCCCTTACAGGAGAGCTTGAGAAGGTGTTTTCAATTCTGCTGCTAGCTCACATTTACCATTTCTTGCCAAAGATAATAATATTTTATTTTACTCATGTTGAATTTTCTGTCATTATGCCTGTGTATAAATGTCATAGTCATACATGAAAATGTAAATGTGATGTGGAAACAATTTCCTATCATCTGTGAATGGACCTAGCTAAATTGTTACTTGTGTTTCCACGAAGACAGCCTAATTTTTTAAGTGTGGAATATTAGATTATCAGTTTAATCACCATAAGGGTCAATGAAACAGTTCATATCCCTGAAACCACATAGAAGCAGATTATGTATGTTTCTCTGTGGCACAGAACCTTTCCCAACTTCCCCACTGTTCCCTTTCAGTGTTTGGAGCGAGAGGCTAGCAGGACAGCTATAGAATCATAGAATCATATTATAATATTAAATCTAAAAGGAAAAATATTGTAGTTTTATAATCCAAACAACTTCACAGTAGTAGAAAGGCTTTAATTTTGAGGAATTCTCTTATTTACAGCATGTACTAAAATGACAGTTTTAGTCTTTCTAAGTCTATTCTGTGAGTACTTTTGTAGAGTGTTCAACAGTGCTTATGCTTCTGACAGCTGTAATGGCTGCTCTGGGACCATTACAGTTCAGAAGTACTCCTGAAAACATTAAACACTGCGTAAAGTTAAGAACCCATAAAAAGGAGTGTTGCAACTGGAGAAACTAACATGCTCCCAACTAAACCTAGGATAGCAGGTGCTAGTTTCAGAAGTGTTTTTCAGATGTAATACTTGTTGTGTAGATAGTCTGGAAAGACAAACTATTAGGTCTCAACTGGGATCCCCCACAGTGTTTTTCTCTTAAATAAATTTAAATTGGAAAAAAAGCAGCTTAAAAAACTCAAGTTTTTAAAAGCATCTAGGGCTTTACATTCTGACAGCTGTCAATACCAATATGGGATGGTCATAAGTAAATAATGAAGGAAATAGTAGCATTTGAGGTAACAGAAAATGAAACTACAGCTGATCCATTAGGTGTAACAAGGATAGGAGAAATAGTAAGAAAACTGATTTTAACATTTATACATAAAATGTGTATATTGATTTCTGACAGATGCATTTAGAGGTATATGATTATGTGAAAATATCCAAAATTTCCATCCACAAATGTCTGACAGCAAGGAAGAATTTCAAATCATGACCTACTTGTACTGTAATAGAGAAAAAATGAGGAAAAAAATAAAAAGGAATTAAAATGTTGTAGATTAAAAATTTTTGGTCATCATTTTTGTAATCTAAAGGGGCTTTTGAGACCTGTTAGTAATTTTTAAATGTTTGAAATGATCACAGTAGCTATTAGTAAAGGGTTTGGAATCTATCTGAGACAGTTTCACTAAAAGAACAAATATTGTTTCTATGACTATAGAAAGAAAATCGATTCCAGGAGTAGACAGGTAGTGTCATGACAAATTTGAGATCCAGGCAGGCATTCATTATGAGAAAGAACGAAACACTTACAGAATTTCTGTGAGAAAGACAGAAACTCTATGCCTGTTTTTTGTAGAAAGGTTCCACATGACCTCTGAACTTCCCTAACAGTTTGTGGCAAGAATACATCTGGAAAAGATATGAAGCAAGCAGTGGTGGTTTGGGCTGATACTAGCTTCTTAACAGTCCGAAAATGGCATAGCACTGAAGAATGTGTTTCTAGGTTGGATAAAAAATTGGAGATTCAGATACGTGCCAAATCATGGCAAAATATTGCATGTTCATTCTGCACAAGGTTAACAAAAGTAAATGTTAGAACAGATCTAAAGAATCTGATTCAGAAATGCAGATATTTTATAATCATTTTGTGTTCTGCTGTCATGTGCATTTGAAGATGAGCAGCTGAGGGTCATGCTGAAAAGCCCAGGGAAATCAGCAGAAATTGTTTAGTGCTGATATTTTGTTGGTTCACCTAATTGACTCTGACCCTTAGCTGTCAAGCAGTTAGGAAAGAAATGAAGCAAAGTAACCATTTAAATTGTAAATCAATGTTTCAAGATTACTTTAAACCCTGTAGTCAATGATATACAGTTTACTTCAGGCTCTGGAGTCATCGAAGACTAGTGACAGATGCACATTTAGCAGCAACATTCTCATATATCAGACAGGAAGTTAATATTTAAAATACTTTCAGAATATTATGAAATGCACAGGCGAAGGGTTTAATTATTTGAAATTAAGAGAATGTTCCTGTGAATTAATCTGGAAGATTAATTAAGGCCTTTTCTCTAAAAATC